TATAACATTGTGCAAAATTTCAGTGGACGAAATGTCTTAATGTCGTATGTTTGATCGTTACTACACACGTCGTTGGACGAGTTGTCTTTATATTGTTATTCTACATACATGAGTACACGAAATTTCTCTATGTTGTACGTAAAGATGGCTACTATACACTTCAGTTGACGAGATGTCTCTTTTTTGGATATTGTGGTCGTTACTGTATACCTTTGTGGACGAAATGTCTCTAAATCCTGTATGTCTCTAAGCCGAATGTTGTTAGTGGACGATATGTATCGGTGTTGAATGTGTTGATCGTTACTGCAGACTTAAGTGGGCGAGATGTCTCTATGTTGTATGAGAGATAATCAATGTACTAAACATTACAGTGGGCTACAGTTCTCTATGTTGGTCGTCAATAAACGAAATGTCCCTTTAATGTACGAGTGTATGTGTTGGCTTACTACAAAAGGACGAGATGTCTCTATGTCTTACATTTATTGATCGTTCCCATCCACTTTATTGGACGAGATTATCTCAAAACTGTGTCAACATCAGAGTGGGCGAAATGTCTCTGGGTAGTCGTCGTGGACTTTTATAGACGGTTCCTTCATTTAAGTCATCGTAAATTTACGAAGAAAGCGTGTCATGGTTGTATGCGATCCATTTTTAAAAGATATATTTCTTCACCAGATTACGTGTATGTATCAACCAGTATGACACAAATCAGATGAAGTGTCTGGTACTCAAACTTAACTGAAAAACGGGATTGGTTTGGTCTGTTTGCGTTTTACGTCCTATTAACAGCTATGGTCATTTAAGGTAATAGGATTGTGTCACCATTTCTCAGTAGAATTTCTTCAAATTTTGTAGTTATATTGCTTTAAAATAAAGAAAAGTTTCTGNAGTTATCGTTCTTGAAAAACTTCACAGTAGTGAAATAGGTAGCCGGTTTCCTGAAGTACAGAAAAAAGTGACACATGTGACTCATTGATAAAAAAAACCCTGAATTAATGCCTGGATTGCTTTGAAATACTTTAATATTGAGAGAACACACTGTTTTGTCAATAATAAACATACAATATTCATCAGTTTAATATTAAACATTAGAATTTGCGGAAATTGTGAAACTGTTTCCCTACATTGGATTTTCAACAAGGGATGTACTTCCTGTTTCCGTTTATCAATACACTCCAATGACCTTAAGGACGGTTAAGGTGGTAGAGGAAAGCCGGAGTTCCCGGTGAAAAAACGCCGACCAACGGCCAGAACCTGGCGACTGTCCCACGTAGGTCTCGAACCCGCGACCCAGTGGAGGAGGGCTAGTGTTGGCAGAATATCAGACGTCTTCACCACTTCGCCACCGCGGGCACTGAAAAACGGGAAAAAAGAAATTAAGAAGTAATTGAGACTAGTAATTTCAACTTATTCCAAACATTACGATTTGCCTGTCATTTCAAGCCGTTCCTCGTCAGCAAAGGAAAATCGAACATTCTTGTAATAGCATGGAAGATTTATTGAAAATTGTTGCTAAAGTACATGATCACGAATAGATATAACGAAATCTACAGATGTGTATTCATATGCCGTCAGACAATCCATGGTAACGTTGTAAGATCTGAGAGGGAATCCATGCATTTGTGTGGAATCAATATGGCTATATTTCTCTGGTCTGCCTCACCTGAAAGTCTATTGGGCGTCGTTAAGCCTTTACAGACAAATTGTTTAATGGCGGACATTCTCTTTTACTGCCGATTCACGCCCGATACTGACGGCACCAGTCTTTGATATGTAACGCTTAATATGTCACGTTAGATGAACCAGGTTATGTCTGCGGACAAAGGTCTATTTGGGTATAACATGTTTTTAACACTTTTTGGTTCGTTCTCTTCCGTTGAATGCCGCATACATGTGCAGTGTGTATGTATGATATATGCCCGATAAATGTTACTACAGTTAAGTACTTTGTAATTAGGGATATATCATGTACTAGGTACAGTAATGTGTTACTAAGGATATAAATCGTATTACTAGGTTCATGTATAGTGCAACCTCGATATAATACCCCTCGTTTCATTTGCCATCTCGTTTATCGCCAATATATTTCAAAATCCCATTTTCTTGTTTTATTATTAATTCCTTTATAGATTTTCCTCAATGTATTGCCAAACCCCTTTATAATGCCAAATATCTCTGGACAAATGGTGGCTTTATGATGAAGTTTTACTGTACATAATTCGTTTTACTAGCATTGTACAGTATGAATATGAGTACACTATGATATGATGCCGTTATGAACACAAAACAACCTGCAAGGGATTAAACACTGTGTCACAAGGGGCATATGTGTTACTACGGATACCTCCTATGTTACTAGGAATATACATTGTACAATGTTCCTTAGGGACATATCACTAGGAACATATAATGTTACTAGGGAAAGAAACCATGTTATTAAGGACACGCATCGTTCTTCTTTTGTTACGGATCATACACTGCATGTATAAATATCTTGTTACTTGGTAGACATAGCGTGTTACTACGTAAATATACCCAGGTAGAACATGTGCTTTCATGGAAACAGATCATCCGACTAGGAACATGCACTGTGTTCCTGAGAACACATGATACTACGGACAATATATATGTTACTAGAAACTAGTGTTAGTAATAATGTTACTAGACATATACCATGTTACTTTGAATACGAACCATGTTACTTAAACTTTTCGATACTATACACATTCCATGTTACTGTAAGTGAACATGTTATCCTGTCACATGTTCTACGCATACAATGGCAATCCTACATGTATTAGGAACGTAAACTCGTATTTGTATTATTCAAGCAACACTGTATACTTCTACACGTTGTATTACCAAACCAATCACCATTTACACAACTTAAATTCACAAAACTAGTTTTGTTTTCCCCTTCTTATGGAGATTTTATAAACTGGCTTGTTCAATATAGGTGATGTACACCGCTTACAACAATCGATGAGTACGTGTTAGCAATCCGGAAGCATCGCCTTTCGGGACTGCGCATAAAATTGATGCCTAGTAATAGCTCGTCTCGCATAAACAATAAAAAGTTCGTTGTCTAAATCATCAGGAGATACATTCCCTACCCTTCATTAAGCTGTGCATCACTTTTTTTCCGATGTGTTTGATAGCACGAACAGTACCAGAGACAGGTGGGGACGATAATAGGCCATGACGTATCTTCATTGTCGTGAACGGGTGTGGTGATCAGGCGAAAAAGTAGGTGTGTCGCCTATTTTATAACAACGTTTTTGAAAGCATGTGGAGTCCATTGCTACCTTCCTTTTGTAGGCAATTTGATAGAAAATTCCTCGACCTGCTTAAAACCCTCATTATACTGAAGTCTAGAAGCAGCGATTCTCACTCTGTGTTCCATCTTGTCCCGGGTGCTTGTTAGTAATTGAGTCTCTACCACATATCACAGTGAAACCTGTCAAAACCGACCAGAACGGGGCATTGGCTCTGCTTGGATAAGATAAGCTTCGGATAACAGTGGTTTTATTTACTTTTAAAAGTATTCCTTTGGACGTTCCCTTCATCATAGGTGTCTATTTCTTCGTATTACAGAGGCTTTTAAACTTCACAGTAGAAAGTTTGCAGTCATCGAACGCCTCTTGTATAAGGGCTTAGTCGATGACGCGTATTAGTTTAAGTGTTTTATAATAATAAGGCATTAATGACTCTTAGATATTGATGTAAAACACTTTCTGCATGTATAACTATCCCATCCACTGTCTATATCGTCCTTGTAGTGTTACACAGTAAACGGCGTTCGTAATACCGGAACTTATATAAATGTAATTTTATGCAGACAGTAAACGGCGCTCGTAATACCGGAACTTATATAAATGTACTTGCATGCAGACAGTAAACGGCGCTCGTAATACCGGAACTTATATAAATGTGCATGCATGCAGACAGTAAAAGACGTTTTTAATACCAGAAATAATGTAAATGTACTTGCATACGTATAGTAAACGGCGTTCGTACTACCGGAAGTTATTTGAATGTACATGCATGAAGACAGTAAAAGACGTTCGTACTACAGGAAGCTTCATATAGGTTTATAGACAGTGAAAGTCGAAAGTCTTACTGACAATTATATATAGGCATGTAGACTTTAAACGTGAGTAGTCCTACCGGAAGTGATGTGAAGACATGCTGGAAAAGGACGTCGTCCTTTTACCGGAAGTCATAAATAGGCATGCTGACAATGGGCGCTGTTCGTCCTACCGGAAGTTAAAATATAGGAGTATAGGCACTGAGCGTTGATCATCCTTCCGGAGGTAACATAGAGGCAGACGACAAAAGTAATTAATCTTACCAAAAATTCATATAAGTGTAGGCAATGAACGTCGGTTGTTCTTAACGTCGATGGGGGTAAGTGCGAATTGTCATTTGAGGTCCACGTGGCTGATGTTGATAATCCGATCTTCACTTTAGTGTTCAACCTCACTGACATTTACGTCTATTTGTTGTTTGTACCTGTAGTAATGGAGCACTATATATCAAGTGAGATTACCTTGATATAGCCACAACTGACATTCATTCTCACTGAAAAAAAATGTGTGTGACTCACTAATAGAAGAATCACAATCTAAAAGATAAGAAAAAAAATGTTTTTTTTTTTTTTTACTATTTTCACTGCAGTGCGTTCGTGAGAAAGTCTTTTCTTAATTCAATTTATCCTGATCAAATAGACGCAATGACAGTTGTAACTGATATAAGTATTTGTTTGAATAGTGACGAGTAGTGACTGACGAGCCCCATAGAGTATAGTAGACATACCGCCATTGGGACACTATATTATTTGAACTACGAGGGGTGGTAAACTGTTGAATATCATTTATATGTAAATATCATTCATACAGCGTATACATAGCGTGCCGAACTATGGGAATTTAAAGTCTCACGTTTCAACAGTCGGCTGTGAACGGTATGACTTCATACCTGTGTTTATTTCTCACACACAGGTAAAACACAAGTAACAGACACACGTGAAGGATACAAAATGGACATTTTAGTGGTCATCCTCGGAATCCTGGCTGCAGTGGACACCGCAAACACACAAGGTAAGACACGGTTTTTATACCTATCTAACTCCTATCTGACTTAAATGCTTACATGTTACGCCTCAGTGGAGGCCATCTTGAAGTAAACCTAGTCTCTCTTGTCCGTTTAAGTGTGTTTGTTACGTACAGAATGTAGAATGTCTCTCACCTTTTGTATTTTCTATATTTTGTAATCCCTCGTGTATATAATTCGGTCGATGAAGGGAGGAGAGCGGAGGGAGTGAGGTGGAGCAGTGTGTGTGTGTGTGTGTGTGTGTGTATGGGGGGATGTAAATTGGCTAAATGTGCGACAATAACTGTATAATTCCTTCACTTACATTGATTGAACGGGGTTAGCTTTTCATTTTAATGACAGACTACTTTCAAATGTTATGATAACAGAACAACCGTATACTACACGGTCAAACGTAAACATTTGTAGAAGGCCATTTGTAGAGTTTGGACAGTCTATAAATGTTGACGTTGGGGATCTTCGTCTGCTATGGTCTTTCCTCGACACCGTTATGACCAGTAGATATATACTACATGTATTCGCGGGGTTGGTGAAGGTGGTGATGGTGTTGACAGTTCTGTCATCTCCAAATACTTAATCGTCTAATATAATTGGGACTATATCCAACACATGAATGTTGCACGTTTACTGTATCGCCTCTATAATAACTGATTGTAACGTTTACTCCTTCCCCCAGGACACCCTCAAACCTCTGTTAAAACCGACCACCCCTTCCCCCTAAACACCCACCTGCAATTCACCCGCGTTCACACATGCATTCTCAATCACATTTCAGCAGCAGAGTGGTAAACGATGTCCCATATTTTTGTCATATTTTTCATATTATCATTGTGTAATTAATATTACCATCTTTTTAATTAATTTTCCAAGTTTTTACTATTTCTAAAGCCTATACATGTACATTCCCTCCAATACATACTTGTCAACTTTTTAAAATGTCTATTGGGGGAGATTATGCATGCTCAATCTATGGGGGAGATTATGCATGCTCAAAATTAAAACATAAATAAAATATGTGTATATACCCAATAGAGACAAAATAACCCTTAAAATGACACATTTTGATTTTTTCTTTTAAATGAAATCATTAGATACTTCCCAGGTATAAAATGCTTAATTTAAGAATCAAAAATCGAGCGTATGCCTCCTAAATAGGGAGGAGGGTTGGCAAGTATGCCAATACTTTACATTTCCCGATATATACCTGTACCTTTGTCATTCTCGGTTTATATACGTATATAGCATTCCATATTGTCGTTCGCCAATTACGTAACGCTGTCTTACACAAAACACTTACACAAGCTTTGTCATATCTGCTTGTTAACTAGATCAGTAGACCGCAACCTTGAATACCTCGAAATGCCATTATGTGATGTAAATTCTCCCTGTATACACTGTACAGATATGTTCAAGGACAATGGGTGTCTGGTATACTTGAAGAAGTTATAAATATTTAAAAGTCGTTAAACCATTTTTTCTGAATTTGATCAAAACGAACATCCTTGAAAGCTAACTTGAGTCCTGGGAAGATTTTTCCCCGTTCGTAATATTGGTAAGGGAAGAATATATAGGGTAATCTAGTACATACGGTATACGTGAAGGCTTTCGATCATTGACATGCGCTATAGAAGGAATGTTAAAGGAGGCAACAACAATAAGTAGGTCATTATGTACGTATCTCATTTAACATCTAGGTTTGTGTGTATGATCTTCTTGGGAAAAGAAGTGGATCCAGAAATTGAAAAGGAAGGGAAAGGGAGGAGGGGTTCCGTATTGTCTTCTGATTTCCTTGTGCTATTTCAAGGTAAGGGGTTGAGGTGTGTGGGGCTGGGGTGGGGGCTTATAGGGGGTGGTTTTGGGTTAGGGACCCCATGGCATCCTCAAAAATCAGCACCCGGGGTGAAAATATTGTCACTGTCCTTTTAATCCTGTCACAGTGGTTTCATTATCCTTGCAAACATTACGCGTATTCGTTGAGATATAGGGGTAAATCTAGGTCCGTCTTACATAGACTGTGGTCTTGAATAAACACATTCAGTGTCATGATCACTCTTACACATGTATTAAAACCAGCTTATTTTACAGACACATACTAAATGTAAATAAGCGTGAAGTGAACCCTACAATTTTATCTGCGTGGTAGGTGACATTTTTAAAGGGACGTGCTTGTCAATAACCACCCTCTGGAATATCATCTCCACTCAGGCATTTCACTAACATATATAGCTGTCTGTCACTTCATCAATGGCAGAGACTCTTTGTACTGTACATGTTCAAATATGAGGAACACGTTGTGTACTGTATTTACCGTAAATATTGTAGTAAACCAACCACCATGGGCACCTATATATATACGAACCTGTTCCTAGTAAGCGACATACAGTAGTGGCTATTACATTTCCCCGTGTCTATAAACGGTATTTTTCTATCTGTATATCAGAACAACAACACTGATCAAGCTTAATTATTTTCACATACATAAGCGACATACATTATTTGGACTTATTTGTAATATATATAAGCGGACATACTGTTTGCTTACATGTAGAGAATGTTATATGCATATATGTATGTACCTATAAGCCTAAGGGCTTTTGGCTAATAACGAACTCAATAGAGAACTCAATTGTTTATGTTGTAAGCGATATATATTCATGAGTAAATGCAGAAGCGAAATTTATTGAGTTCAAGTACATTCATTGGTTGTTAGCATGTGTGTTTCTTTGTAAAAGCGTCATCCATTGGTTGACCGTAAATGTGTTAATACGTAAGCGACATTCGCACATGTGAACGCCTTTTATGTTCATAAGCGACAGCCAAAGATGATCATGAGCTTGTAATCATTTGTGCACCATATGGTGCATTACATAATGAAGTTGCTTACATGTCAAATTGACTTCATTTGATAAACTTAGTAATGGGACTCCAACTTATTTGCACATGGTTACATGCTTGTTTTTTGCATATATGAGCGATATAAATAGAATGAGCTTATTTACATATGTATAAAAGACATCATCGAACACAAATATAACAGAAATCAATTTTGAAACACTGTTTAACCGAATCAGAGATCTATATTATAGTGTTTTGGTTCTCTTGCGTAACACAATAAAAATCCAGCTACATTAATTAACGATTTTGAATATACAACGTAAAGTAACATACGAGACAGCATTGTACAGATAAACGTAAGTTAGGCTTCGGTGACACCAGCAGTAATAGACATAGTTAAGTGAAATTTCACGTGCTGAAAGACATACCGATCCACAGAAAAGTCGACGATATTTTAGACATATCGGCCGGGGTCGATCTCTGTCTGCGGTGATAAATGTCTGCTGATTGTCGAACGATAAAGTTCAAGCTCAGTTACAGAGATGTTAAACGATCATTTATCTCCCCTACTAAGTCTACAGTGATGTGTCATACCGCGGGGACTAGATCGACTCCGGAGTCACAATAGTCGTAGGTCATTGTTATTGTAATGTTTCAGATTTGTTGTTTTGTTATTGCCTCGTGTCGTTGCATAAACGTTCAGTGACAATTAATAAAAAAAAAAAAATCATAATTCATGTTTTCTTTATAAGTTGATAACACTTCAGGGCGCAGGGGACGAATATACATGTATACATATTTTTCCCTTCCGTATTATTTACAATCACGACCCACCAGATATATCCAGGCACGTAAGCTGATGTTTACAATGATTCTAACCATATATGGACAACTTATCAGGTATGGTAAACGTCTTGATTAGTACATTTTCCTTATATGGTCATACCAATTAACCGAACGCAGATTGAAACAATAACCGGAGATTACATCACAATTACAAATTGCCGCCTTGTTTCTATGGAAGTGTTCTTCCTTCTGTCTCGTGTGACACGCACACTTCTGAAACAACAGACGGGTCCGATCTCTGCTGATAAACGTCTGCAGCCTAGAACTGATATCCGACAGGAGGACACGGCTGGCTTGAGTAACTGGGATTTCAATCGATCCCTCTGTCTTGTCGTCATTTGTAGCACCATAAATAAATGCTAGTCAGATCGGGATTATTTGTTTTCTCTTTCGAAGACTCAAACAGAATAAGATGTCTGCGTAAGTGATTTATATCGGCACACCTCACACCAGCCTCAACCCACAGGCTTGACTTAAGTTTCACTTATCAGAATTGATTTCTTTCCTGTCACTATTAGACGAACAAAATGTTTGACGCTTCTCATTTTTCTGGATAAAAAAGCATATCTGGTGTCTACGTAAAGTGACTGATGTCTGTCTGCATGCCGAGGTTAAAAACTGTACTAATTGATTAACGAGCGTGAAGTCGACAGGAGTCGTGTATACCAATGTACAAAGTCTATCTCAAACATTGGCCGCCCGAAATCGTTCATATCACCCATTGAACAATAGTCCGACACCTCAAATACATTGCTCTTCTTACCCTTCCAACTGTTTCCATTTGAAAGTGCTTTACTTAGCGCCTCTGATTATTCCGTTGTCAAAATAGGCACCCATACTCATTAGACTCTGGCTGTTGAACGGACTTCACCAAAATCAAAACAGACATGCATTTACCTACACTCTGTCTATCAGTTTAATTACGCCAACAGTTCTCCAGTTTCTACCGTTGGCGCTCAAAAGTATCAAACCAAATCGTTGATGGTTGTTCTTGACGGCTGAACTTTCTTGATCCTATAAGTTCCAGGGAGTCATTATGTCACACTGATCAGTGCGCATCTCGAATATCAAAGTTGTTATCATTGGGTTTCTTTTTAGGTTTAGATGTTATTTGGGGTCCAATTGTTCTTGACAGATATTCTTTCTTTATTTTATATAAATTCAATTATAGATTTTGTGAAAAAATATATCGTTCTTATTTTTACACATCCTTGAGTTTTTCTTTTTGTTCAAGATATTTTCTAGCGTGACGTTGTTCTTTCTTGAGACATGAGTTCACTTAATTAATAAAAGGATTTTGGAGACA